TCTCTTCCCTGTCTTCTTATCCCACTACTTTTATCCTTTTATTATCTCCTCCTTATTCCTCACCTTGTTATCTCTCTTCTCTCTCTCTCTCTCTCTCTCTCTCTCTCTCTCTCTCTCTCTCTCTCTCTCTCTCTCTTTCGCTGCTTCTTGATTTTTATTTTTGTTCATCTCTTTTGATCGTTGATGTTTCTCCTTAAAGTTATCTCTACGTTCTATTAATGTTTATCATCCTTTGGCTATTCAGTGAGACCTTAAAACAAAATAATTTCAAAGAGTTATTATACTATAATATTGATATTGATTTTTTTTTTTTTTTTTTTTTTTTTTTTTTAGAATATACAGGGCATTCTCATTCTATGTAAACCTGATTTGTTGTTACTCTTCTTTTTTCTTTTTTTTTTTTTTTTTTTTTTTTTTATAACAAAATTTACATGTTTCATAACAGACACCCTTTATATTATAGGACACTTATCATGTTATTTTGAAGACATTTGCTTATCTATCCTTTTCTTTTCTTTTTTTTCCTTTTAATTTTTTTTCTCTCCTTTCTCATTCATCTTTTTCTTTTAACAGATGAGAGAGAGAGAGAGAGAGAGAGACTACGTTTGTTTGGTATTACTTTTAAATGGAGATCGATGGAATTCATTCGATTTCTCGTCGATCGGATCAATTCTTTTTATCTTTTCTTTTTTTTTTCGTCATTTTTTTGTCCGAACCATTCACGTTTACATTCTCTCGTATTTTTTTTCTCTTTCTTTCTTTTTTTTTTTTTCTTTTTCCTTTCGTTTCAAAGATATTCCACGTAGAAGCCAAAAAGGCCCTCACTCTTCCTCCACATTCTAGATCTGTGACCTTGCTCGAAAAGAATTCGGATGTGTTGCGTAACTACGTCTTCGATTTAACATTCCAACGATGGGAGAATCGGAAACGCGTTCGTTGAGATGCGTTTCTCTCTTTTTTTTTTTTTTCTTTCTATTTTTTTCTAGAGGCAAAAACAAAAAAATAAAATTAACAAACAGAATTACATAATAGTAATAATACAATATATATAAATATATATTTATATATATATAAATATATACACACAGTTATTATATATTAAGATAACATTTGAAAATCAATAAATATATAATATTAAAGTATATAATATTTATTTAAAAATTTATCTGAAAAATCTAATTGTTATTTTAAAGACAAAAAATCAAAACGAAAGAACAAAAATAAAAATAAAACATACTTTACAACGAAAGAATATATTCAATTCGGTTGATCTTGAAAGGATTACGTTTTGTCCCTAAACGTTTAGAGTGGACATTTTATTGCATGAACGAATACTTGAAGGGTAGAAAAAAAGAAAGAAAGAAAGAGAAAGAAAGAGAGAAAGGGAGAGAGAGAACGAGGAGATCCTTGGCGTTTCATATTCGTGATTTACACGTCGTAAAGGGTACGAAGCAAGACTCGTGAGCGCGTTAATACGCGTGCTTTCGAGAATGCTTGCGGCCACTTTTCTCGCGTATGCGCGTCGGTTATGTCGTAGGCGAGTTCTGTATACCAGAACTGTGTGACGTCACTAATGCAGCCTTTTACAAGGAGGTCGGAAAGGTCATATAGTCATATGACCAGAGAGAAAGAAAGAAATATAGTGTTAAAGAAGCTTTTGGGAATGTCATGCAATTCTTTCTTCACTCCTTATATATATATATATATATATACATATACAAAGGGTGTCTTAGTAATTACTATCATTTCAAATACACATGATTACGTATTGATATTTATATACTGATATGACAAAAAAAAAAAATATATATATATATATATTTTAAATACATTGAACAAGTATAATGGAACGGAGAAGATGTTTAAAAAAATAAATAAATCTGTGTTTAAATAATTTTGATATATGAAAAGGATTCTTTCTATTTTGAGATCAATAAATAATTAATGATTCACCCTATATAAATATATATATATATATATGTACATATATACACATACATACCTGTATAAATATATAATACATATGTCGACAGATATATGCGAATAATAAAATGTTTACAATCTCGAGTTTTGCTTCTTGAAAAAGCTAAATTATGTGAGTACATAAATAAAGGATTAAATACAATTTTCTGAAGAGATGTGAACACTATAACGAAAGGAGTCACTTTTTGAGAGACTCCAGTCTTTCTCCTTCTCTCTCCCTCTCTCTCTCTCTCTTTCTTTCTCTTTATCTAAATAAATTTACTTTTTTGTTTTCAATTTTATCATCCGATTGTTTCGTCATCTTCCGCCTCTCTCTCTCTCTCTCTCTCTCTCTCTCTCTCTTTCTCTTTTTTTCTTTCTTTTTGAAGAATTACGGAGGAGTCTCGTTTAAAAATTTCTCGAGCATGAGGCCGTGGCGATTCAATTAACTGCGGGTTAATAATGGTCACGGCGAGAGAAGGAATCCTGACGTCTCTTGAAGATGAGGAGGACGCTCTCGAGAAATAAAGGATCCGAA